GGTCAAAATGGAAAGTAATAATAACAAAAATTAAAGCCCAACAATGGTTGGGTTTGTCTTACTAACAAAATATAAGCAAGTAAAACTCATCTACTTTCCAACAATGGTTGGGTTTGTCCAAGTAAAAAATCATCTGCTTTCATGAACTGTGAATTCAGATTGTGGTATGAAAAGGGGCCTCTCTATTGTCTGGGCCTATGCAAAGATTGAGAAATACAGTCTTCTAACTCTTCTGGCAGTCAAATAATTCATCAGTTATTCCATTGCAAATTTAGAAACAATCCTGGTGTATCAGGGTACCATGTGAAACAAGGGATGGGTGGTGAAATGAAATAGTATAGGACTTATACAACACACTGTATAATGTTTAAAAATATCAGTGTAGACTTACCCTTTCTCTTGCTCACTTCCTCTGCAAAAAGAAGGAAACATTTCAGTGTGTGAATATTTTTTTCCATACAGGGGTTTAGCTAAGCTTTTCTATGGAAGTAGGAGTCAGATATGGAACAAGCTATTTGGAAAATCAAAGGAAGGGAGTATTGGAAGCAACCTGCTATGAACTATCAAGTACAGGTAAAACACTGGGATATCTCATTATAAGCTTGAGCTAGGTCTTCTTTTTCTGTATGGAGTTGTTTCCTCAAAAGAAAGGAGCATAAGCATCCTGATAAAGGGAAAGTCCTGATGCATTCTTAATAATGTAGTTGCTAAGTCACCTTCATAATTAAAGTTAACGGGGATGGGGAGAGACACGGCACTACTTATACCCCTCCACTGGGACCAGGGAGCAACCAAAAGCCAACAGGTAGAGAACAGGAGAGGAGAAAAACGTTCTTAATTATCTGGCTGTGTCCTGATTAGTCTTGGGCCCCATGAAGGCTGTCCTAGGGTGTGAGGAACCATTTCACTGATCATTTTTTTATGGAGGGAGCGTAACCTCAGATAAGGGTGGATGGTGGGGCATGGAACAGGGGATGGGCTCTTCGCTTGCTGCTAATGCTGTCCATATCCCACTCTAACAAGTTGTCAGAGAGTGGGCCATGAGGGGGCTGGAGAACCTGGTAAGTCTTTCAGGCCAGTGTGGGATTCTGGGGGACTGTGACAGGGAGCCTGGTCTAACTGAAAAACCTTCTATGGGGCTGGGGAGTGTTAACTCCAGAAATCCCTAAGGAACAGAGGGATTTTGCGCAGGGTGGGGAGCGCTACAGTTCACATCCATAGTCCTCTCCACAGAGGCCTGGAAGAAGCAGGTGTCGGGGAGCAGCCAGCTGGGGCAGAGAAATGGTTTTACATTCCCTGGAACAATGTGCTTTAGGGTCCAAGTATTCACATGAGGGAGCACTGGCAGCTGCCTGCAGCCTTCACTCTCTCTTGATAGAGTTTTTGGGTGGGAATTACATCATGTGAATGGTTCATTCCTGCTGTTTCAAGGCACAGCTAACATCAGACATCTGTCAGAGGTAGATGGAGGGATAGAGTTAGGAAACATATTTTTTCTTTCCTACAAAAAGTCTGACAACAGTCAGGCTGCTGGTGAGCTGTGACAATTGCTCATCATGCAATCCAGTGTTGTCTCGTTGTGTCATTGTGCTCCCCATCCGTCTCTATCTCTCTCTTGTCTTATACTTAGAGTGTGATCTTTCTGGGGCAGGAATTGACTGTTCTGTGTTTGTACCAAGCCTGGCACAGTGCGGTCCTGGTCCATGACCTGGGCTCCTAGGCCCTACCATAACACAAATAATAATAATAAAAATAATAACAATTTATTATTTAATTTTACATTTCAATTTGATAATAATTTTTATGAGCGACAAATGTACTAAATAATGAAATGTTTAATAAATATGAAATACCAAATCTTATATTTTAAGTAAATGCAAGTTTATTTACTCTTCAGAAATTGGACAGAAAGATTAATGTCTGGCCTGGTCTACACTACGAGTTTAGGTCGACTTTAGCAGCGTTAAATCGAATTAAGCCTGGACACGTTCACACAGCTAAGTCCTTTTTTTCGACTTAAAGGGCCCTTTAAACCGGTTTCTTTACTCCACCTCCAATGAGGGGATTAGCGCTAAAATTGGCCTTAGCGAATTTACACTCTGGTGAGTGTACCTTTGTAAATATTACACTGTTTAAAATCAAGTGTGTTTAATGATTAATGATTAATTTGCCCTGGCAGTTGCGGCCAGTACAACTACTGGAAAAGTCTGTTAACGTGTATGGCGATGGAGCGGAAATCCTCCAGGGACATCTCCAGAAAGCT